AATTGCCTGTGGAAGATCACAGATACAAGATATTTTATAGCGTAAACGTTCCATGAAGAAACAGTGACAGTAGTCTATAAACTACACAAACAGATCCATAACAAGTCGTTACTTCTGTCGTGAGGGTTTCGTTCTCAAATGGGTCGAGATTTATTATGAGCATATATTTTGTTCTTCTTATAACAAAGTGAATAAAGGTTATCAAACTGCTTGGTGTGCATGTTTCAAGCACAAGCCAATACATATACAATAGAGTAGTTGTATGAACATAAATAAAATAAATAATAAAGAGTCTTAGCGAATACCATGACCACAGCTGCCAATGAACCAGTGCTTTTCATTGGGGATATTTCTTTCTCATTCGTGAGGTGGGTAGTAGTTAGTCTGCCATATCGACCCTGAAGCAAATATATCCAAGAAAACCCACGCAAGTCTAGAATATGTGGCAAGTCTAGATTTCCATAGTTTCTGAAAATGAAGAAAGTCTCAGGGCTCCGTTTCATTACATTTTACGTGTTTTTTTTATGAACTGCTTTGTTTCTGTAAAATATGTTCATTTCAGAGACTAGGTGTAAGTCTACCTGCCCACCTCCAGCCTCCAAACCAATCACTCTACTAACCTTCCCAATGTATGTTACCTGAAAGACCCTTTCATTTCATAACTCAACACACTTATAACTTTAACAACACTCCTGAATCCCACAAACAACGCTCGTAGATGGCACCAACAGTACCCCACCAACCCTTCACCTGCCACACTCATCGAGTCATTTCCTGGATTTGTTTTCATTGGATCAAATACAGCCATTCATTGTTCATTTCAGAGACTAGTTGTTAGTCTAGGTAGTGGTATACAGCGATGTTACAACGCCGCTTCAGTATGAGTGAGGGACTTTGTTGGTTTAGCGCCGCTTTGAACAGTATTACCGTTAGTGTCAGCTTGGAGTCACCTTGACTCCCCGTTAGTCTGGGGTGATTTGGCAAGTCTAGGCTACCTCAGCTCTGGGAATGAAGAATTGTTCGTAATTGGGGCATAATGTGAAGAGAAAGTTAAAACGAAATATTCCTTTAAGAGAAGGACAATGTGATATTGGACCATTATCTTACGAGAAAAATAATAATGTTAACGTGAACTATCCATTGAAGAATAAGCACGATGTCCTCTTAAGCTATATTTTGAAGAGAAAGCACAGTGTCAGTTTGGACTATTGTTTGAAGAGAAAAAAAAACAATCTTCACTTGGACTATTATTTGAAGAGAAAGTAAAATATTAATTTGGAACAATTGAATGAATGAAAAATATACGACACATTAGCTTCCAGTTATGAAGAGGAAGTACGTTGTCATCTGAGTGTATTAAAAGAAAATATTAATCTCAGTACAAGGTGACGTGACCTTCATGTGTTTCTGTTTCAATGTTACTTCTATATTCGTCCTTCATACTGACAAAATCAGTTTGACCCTTGTTGTCGTGGTAATGGCGACAGTACGGCGCTTCAGGAACGGCGGCGTGATACTCCTACCGATGGTAAACGTTGATACCCGATCACACTGTGGAATAGGAAGACATGTGGGTGTGGAACAAAAACACTTAAATTTCTAGCCCCGATCGCGAGACAGCGTTTTGTTAATCGTGATGGTAGAAAACTCCGGCCATACTTAAATGGCACGGCGAAAACTAAATTGTGGTTTGCTTTCTGTCTACCATGCTTAGAAAAAAACATAACAAGCGTTAGATTCCATTTTTTCTTCAACCTAAAGATGAGCAACACCCATGTTTTTTCCGGCCATTGTAACTCAGGATCTGTTTAATAGTAAAGTAACACTGTTAGGTTTAGCGGTGACAGAGTGGGGTAATCCTTTCTGTAGGAACAAAACAATGTTGAGTGTTACCTCTTTCAATCCCTTACGTCCATTGTGACCCTCTATTGTTTTAGCGAAGACAATACTGCTATATCTTCTCTGTTGAGAAGCGCCGCTATCTAGTGCTCTCCTAAAGACATCTAATTTGCCGACAGCCACAAAAATCTCCCTGTCAATCGCAGCCAATTTCCGATAATATTTTCTCAAAAACTGATCATGATTGTTTTGGAAAGTGCGCGTCCTGTAGATTAGGAATCCTGAAAACAATTACGAGAGGGCTTTTCGCTAATAATTCGCTGACAGGCAAGTGTAATTCAATCGCATCTCTCTCCAGCTGCCACTTCCGAGGCTTTCTGCAATATTAGCGCTGCAATGGCGGGAATGTTTCGGGAAAGACGAGCTTAATATGAGGTGGCAGGCAGGAGCTACTAACAAGAAAGGAAAGCGTTGTTTTGATACTTTAAAAATGTAGCTGTCAAAATACTGCAACAGATGGGAGCTGCAAGTCTCGGGCCTATGCTGCGCAAGCCGAATGATGAGGGCATATTATGACAGTCGGACTCTGACGTCACCATTCCCAGAATTCCAAGACACGCGCAATCGGAAGTTGTGGATACCTCTTTATGTTGTTCCTTGGATAATACCCACGCCGTGTTAAACTATTTGCAGTGAAGAGCTTTTCGAAGGGAGCTAACTGCTTTTAGAACCGCAATTACCTCCCAGTTGCGGTTGAAAATTGGCTGTCAGTGGTAATATTGGCCTCACAAGTTGAGAGAGGGGACAGGACTACGCATATTTCTTCCAAACTTTGTGGTATTTTCATCATGGAAGCTCTTTTGTCATGTGTAATTCCTTTATGCCGGCATTCATCAACTTCTGCCTGTCTTTATGGGTGGAATAGAGAGGAGCGAGTCACTCGTCACCTTCAATCATGCCACGATGGTTTTTCTGGAAGTCTTGTTACCCTACTTTGCACTCAGTCTTCCTGAAGTTTCTCTCTGGAAGAGTTCCTTCAGCTGGATGGTGGTTTGTGTTTGTTTGTATGTACTGGTACACACGTTATACAAACAACATCATGGGGAAGGGCACATACATAATAATGATCGCACACATACATATATGGACATACCATACAATACAATACTCATCATATATATGTGATTCATTATATATCTTGTTTATGTAGTTTATAGAATAGTGTCACTGTTTCTGTATGGAACGTTTGCACAATAAATATTTGATTTGATTTGATAGGTACACACACACACACACACACACACACACACACACACACACACACACACACACACACACACACACACACACACACACACACACACACATACATACATACATACATACATACGTACATACGTACAATAGATACATACAGTTTCTTATAGCTCACTATTTAATAAGAACAAGAAGCATCTATGATACGTAAATGTTAGATTCAGGATACAAGATATTTTATTGCGCAAACATTCCACGTAGAAGCAGGGACAATATTCTATAAACTAAATAAACGAGATACATAATAAACCAGTGTAACAATATATACACTACTACAAATGTGTCCTAACAAGAACAATCTAGAGATCTTCTAGATTTGTTTAAAGTTGTATACGTGGTAGCAAATTATTTCTATTCCATCTTGTTCATATTTGTAAACAGGAGGCTAAATTTTTCCGTGGTGGCAAGGCTTTGAAAGTAATAAATTTGAGATTGAGGGAATTAAATAAGGACTGCCTTACATCTGAATATTTACTACAAGACATGAAATAGTGTTCTTCATCCCCAAGGACTGAGGATTATCACAGAGACGGTCCTCTGAAGGTGTAGGTGGTCTTGTTCTTCTACCCAGTTCAAGTTTTAACCTGTGATCACTCAATCTTAGTTTTGTGGTAACATGGTATTTGGTATAAAATATGTCTGTAGAAGTTAAGCTCTGTTCTGCAGGCCCAGTTATGTGCTTGCTGAGAAACTCCCAGAGTACGTTTGCAGAATTTTGTTTGTAATTTTTCAGGAGGGAAAGTATGTACATTGTACATGTCTTAGCAGAACAAAGTCGGTGTTATCTGTGTGTCTTGCATGTGATAGCATTGTTTGTACCACCAGGAAGTGTATCATGACGTCATTCCACCAGGATACGCAAACAATTGTTTCTGCTATAATGCTATTATCCATTTAAAAATTAAGATGATATGCGAAGATATGGTTGACAAATAACAAATATATTCGCTTTCTCTCATTCTCTAAATCCACTATATTTACTCTTTGCGCGTGTTAATGCAACACTGTAATTATACTATAGACTGTACACTTTGTGGTTTGTCTGAGGAATCATTTTGTACCGGCTGTTAATGCCAGAATAAGTTCTTAAGAACGCAAATATGATGACATTGTGAAACTCATTGTAAAAATTGAACTGGGTAGAAGAACAAGACCACCTACACCTTTGGAGGACCGTCTCTGTGATAAATGCTTTGTCCTTGAGGATGAAGAACACCATTTCATGTGCTGTACTAAATAATCAGATGCAAGAAAGTCATTATTTAACTCCCTTTCCTCTAAAATTAATAACTTTCATAGACTTACTACCACTGAAAAATGTAGCCTCCTTTTCAGAAATAATGATCCAAATAGTATATAAATTATTTGCTACCACATGTACAACTTTAAACAAATATAGAAGATCTGATTGTCCTAGGCCATTATTATTATACACATCTGTATTATTATATGTTTTATTGCTCATCATATATATGTGATTCATTATATATCTTGTTTATGTAGTTTATAGAATATTTTCACTGTTTCTGTATGGAACGTTTGTACAATAAATATTTTATCTCTTTTATCTCTTATAAATATTTTTTATCTTTATCTTATCTTATCTTATCTCACAACAAACGATCATTTTTTTCTTGTCTCAAACTCACTCATCACTATTATCATAAGCATAACTACTACTACATCTACAGCTACTTCTACTACCAAACTGAACTAAAGAACATTCTGATGCTTCGCGGTAGACAGATGTCATACGCAGTTTTAACAAATTCTTATCAATGTATAGCCTTCCTGTTTGAGGATAAGCAATGCCTGAGTACCATCCTTGTAAACTAAACAGGGGCGGGCTCCTTTCACGAAGCAACCTTAATAATAATAATAATAATAAGTGCATTTATATTGCGCTATTTTCCATCCGTTGCGGTTGCTCAAAGCGCAGGTATCAAGGGTAGAACTTGGAGAAGAGATGGGTTTTAAGTTTGGACTTGAAGACAGCTAAAGATGGGGAGGTTTTGATATCAAAAGGAAGACAGTTCCAGAGAGCAGGAGCACAGAATGAGAATGATCTCTGGCCGAAGGATTTGAGATTGGTCCTGGGGATGGTAAATAAAAGTTGATCATTGGATCTCAGGTTTTTGCATGAAGTATATTTCTGGAGAAGTTCTTTCAGATATCCTGGTGCAACATCATGGTAACAGCTGTAGGTCAGTGATAACACTTTGAACTCGATTCTAGCTTGTACTGGGAGCCAGTGGAGATTCATCAACCTTTACTAAGGTTAACCTTTAACTTCTTTGAGAGGCATTTAAGAAGTTGTATAGATGAAGGAAAACTTAGTTCTATGGATAGTCAACTTCTTTATTGCAATGAATGCGACGTTTCGATGTAGGTACTAACACCGTTGTCAAGTCCCTTGCTTGATAACGGTGTTAGTACCTACACTGAAACGTCGCACCCATTGCAATAAAGAAGTTGACTATCCATAGAACTTGGTTTTCCTAAGGTTAACCTTAACTCCCATTCTTTAACATTGGACTAAGGTCACCTTAGTGACTTAATTACGATCAGCTTAGTGAAAGGAGGCCCTGGACCACAACCCAGAGAGACCTAGTATGTCGAACGACTCGTCTACAATTACAGTTTTACATAGAGTATTGCGAAGTATAGTATGGAGAATAGACACTTGGATTATAACATTTGAGACAGAGTATCTCAGACATCATGACAGATCCTCGGTAATAATAATTTGTACTTTCTCGAAATATTCAGTCAGTTAGGTCATACGAACAAGTCAGAAATATTATTTTTTCTGCAAACCACAATGAAAGAAGTGGAGCAGCCATGAGGCTAAAGTGTTCGCACATTCAGCCGAAAATCCGGGTTCGATCCTAAACTTGTGTACAACATGTAAACCGTCTGGTGTTCCCCGCCGTGATATTGCTGGAATGTTGCTAAGAGCGGCGTAAACCCATACTCACTCGCACACCACCATGAATGAAATAAGCGAATGTTGACGCCTTCATATTCCATCTACATCTTGGCGGCTCTTTAATAATCGAGCCTGGAACAGACAAACCCGATGATGATGGCGTGACACACCCTTGCCCCACCCTATCCCACTACGATCGACCCTCACTGTCTTATGTGTAGGCTACCTGATTACCTCGAATCCATTCAATACGACCCAATAGACAACAATCCACATTTTCTCTCCGAGGGGCGGGTGTGGTGGTGAAATACAAAGAACCATGATCATGATGTACCGTATCCTGACAGGCTTAAGTGACGCAACTCTGCAACTGGCATTGGTGTTGTTGTTTTTAAAATTGGAAATTATGTTTTCAATGCCTTTTTAAAATTGCAGTCATTAAAATAAATAGTATTTTTTGGAATTGTTATGATGTTCTGTATATTTGGTTCCTAATTTCATTTCAATGTTGAAGATTCCAAAAAATGCTTTTGTGAATTGATTAATGTTAAAATGCAACCATTACAGTAGGTGAGATCATGTTTCAGTATACTCTGTGGAAGAATTTTCAAAAAACCGCTGGGCAAGAGCTGTTGAAATATGAACCTAAAACATATATCTACCATTGTTGCAATCGTCGTCATCTTCGCACGAACAGCAATGAAGCGCGCACCGTGACAGAAGGCGCCGCAAGAATGATGTTACACACTGATCTGGATGCACATAGAGTGCCGCGAGCAGATTTATCACCAGTATTTTCACAGCAGCGGATAACCCCAAGTCTTGATAGCATATTTATCGAGACAGTTTTCCATATAAAACGAAGTCGCCATTTATTTTTCCATTTGCCTCATATTTGGCAAGGAAAATTACATAAAATGTCGTTCTAGTTAGAACGCTGTCCTCTAATTGTAACATTTGTATGCGGATAATTATTCTGTTCCATATGCTTGCCCGGTCTTAAGAATAATTTTTAAATTAATAGTGCATATTTTTTCAGGGTTAGCCAGAGAAGGCGGTGATTTATAGGGGCGGGTCGTTGAGATTGACAGATTGATCGAGGTTTGAATCTGAACCCAAGACCCCACTGACCCGGGTCTGAATTACTTAGGCCATTCTCTAATTACACAATCTTATTACTGGCTATTTGAAATACTGACAAATAGCGGTGGGTCAGTAAGCCCCGGCATCCGTCATTCTCCAGAACCCACGGAGGGCTCAGCTTCGCGGGCGAAGAGAAATTTATGCACGCCGCATACACTAAACCTGAAATTATAAAGCGGTTCCAAGCCGCGCTTGTCATTGTAAATTCGGTGGAATCCTGACATTAAGCAGATAAACAGGTTCCAGTAAGGGGAATCTATAGCGCGGTAGATAGATGATGGTTGATGCGATACCACCAGTCTCATCAGCACTGTCAGACCATCACTCAACTCTAATTTCACCAATATAGAACAGAAAAACGGATATGACAGTTAATAGAACACAGTGTGTTACAGGATACTTTCCTAAATTATCATCAAGACATTCTGTCACTGCTTTCATTAAGGCAAGATACGGTAATCTTGGTCAAATATAGCTGCTGCCTACATACTGCCACGAGTAAAAATGTAGTAATTCATATAGGTAGTAGATATGAAGATGGTTCAACAACAGGGTAAAAGTAACTGATAAAGCCCATAGGCAGTGCGATATACGTAACATGTATTAAGACATGTAGGCAGTGCGATATAAGTAACATATATTAAGACATGTAGGCAGTGCGATATAAGTAAAATATATCAAGACATGTAGGCAGTGCGATATGAGTAACATGTATTAAGACGTGTAGGCAGTGCGATATACGTAACATGTATGAAGACATGTAGGCAGTGCGATATAAGTAACATATATTAAGACATGTAGGCAGTGCGTTTTAAGTAAAATATATCAAGACATGTAGGCAGTGCGATATGGGTAACATGTATGAAGACATGTAGGCAGTGCGATATAAGTAACATATATTAAGACATGTAGGCAGTGCGATATAAGTAAAATATATCAGACGTGTAGGCAGTGCGATATAAGTAACATGATTAAGACGTGTAGGCAGTGCGATATAAGTAACATATATTAAGACGTGTAGGCAGTGCGATATAAGTAACATATATTAAGACGTGTAGGCAACAGGATGTAAATATCTGATATAACGTGTAAGCGTTATAAAATGTGATACGTATCTAGACAATAGGCAACGGTAAATATGCAATAGGTATGTAGACGTGCAAACATTAGGATGTTATTGTAAAAAGCAGGATTTAAGTTACTGACATAGCATGTAGGCGACTGGATGTAAGTTACTGATATAGCATGTAGGCAGCAGGATGTAAGTTACTGATATATCATGTAGGCCGCATGTAGGCAGCGGGATGTAGCTTCATAATATAACATGTAGGCCGCATGTAGGTAGCAGGGTGTAATTTCATAATATAACATGTAGGCCGCATGTAGGTAGCAGGATGTAATCTTCATAATATAACATGTAGGCCGCATGTAGGTAGCAGGGTGTAATTTCATAATATAACATGTAGGCCGCATGTAGGAAGCGGGATGTAACTTCATAATATAACATGTAGGCCACATGTAGGCAGCAGGATGTAACTTCATAATATAACATGTAGGCTGCATGTAGGTAGCAGGGTGTAATTTCATAATATAACATGTAGGCCGCATGTAGGTAGCAGGGTGTAATTTCATAATATAACATGTAGGCCGCATATAGGTAGCAGGATGTAACTTCATAATATAACATGTAGGCTGCATGTAGGTAGCGGGATGAAACTTCATAATATAACATGTAAGCCACATGTAGGCAGCAGGGTGTAATTTCATAATATATATAACATGTAAGCCGCATGTAGGCAAGGGGATGTAACTTCATAATATAACATGTAGGCGCATGTAGGCAGCAGGATGTAATTTCATAATATAACATGTAGGCCGCATGTAGGTAGCGAGGATGTAACTTAATATAACATGTAGGCCGCATGTAGGCCGCGGGATGTAAACTTCATAATATAACATGTAGGCCGCATGTAGGCAGCGGGATGTAACTTCATAATATAACATGTAGGCCGCATGTAGGTAGCGGGATGTAACTTCATAATATAACATGTAGGCCGCATGTAGGCAGCGGAACTTCATGATATAACATGTAGGCCGCATGTAGGATGATGTAACTTCATAATATAACATGTAGGCCGCATGTAGGCAGCGGGATGTAACTTCATAATATAACATGTAGGCCGCATGTAGGCAGCGGGATGTAACTTCATAATATATGTAGGCCACATGTAGGATGTAGCGGGATGTAACTTCATAATATAGCATGGCATGTAACTTCATAATATAACATGTAGGCCCATGTACGTGTAATTTCATAATATAACATGTAGGCCGCATGTAGGTAGCAGGATGTAACTTCATAATATAACATGTAGGCCGCATGTAGGTAGCGGGATGAAACTTCATAACATATAACATGTAGGTAGCAGGATGTAACTTCATAGGCTGCAGTAGGTGTAATTTCATAATATATATACATGTAAGCCGCATGTAGGCAGCGGGATGTAACTTCATGATATAACATGTAGGCGTATGTAGGATGCAGGGTGGTCAGCGGGATGTAGGCGTGAGATGTAACTTCATAATATAACATGTAGGCCGCATAATTATAACATGTAGGCCGCATGGGATGTAACTTCATAATATAACATGTAGGCCGCATGTAGGCAGCGGGATGAAACTTCATGATATAACATGCATAGGCCGCGGATGTAAGGTAGGCCGCAGGATAGCGGGATGTAACTTCATAATATAACATGTAGGCCGCATGTAGGTAGCGGGATGTAACTTCATAATATAACATGTAGGCCGCATGTAGGCAGCAGGATGTAACTTCATAATATAACATGTAGGCCGCATGTAGGCAGCGGGATGTAACTTCATAATATAACATGTAGGCCGCATGTAGGTAGCAGGATGTAACTTCATAATATAACATGTAGGCCGCATGTAGGTAGCAGCGGGATACTATGTAGGCTTCATAATATAACATGTATAGGCCTGCATGTAGGTAGCAGGGGATGTAACTTCATAATATAACATGTAGGCCCGCATGTAGGTAACCGCATGTAGGCAGTAGGCAGCGGATGTAACTTCATAATATAACATGTAGGCCGCATGTAGGCAGCAGGATGTAATTTCATAATATATATAACATGTAGGCCGCATGTAGGTAGCGGGATGTAACTTCATAATATAACATGTAGGCGTATGTAGGTAGCAGGGTGTAATTTCATAACATAACATGTAGGCCGCATGTAGGTAGCAGGATGTAACTTCATAATATAACATGTAGGCCGCATGTAGGCAGCGGGATGTAACTTCATAATATAACATGTAGGCCGCATGTAGGTAGCGGGATGTAACTTCATAATATAACATGTAGGCCGCATGTAGGTAGCAGGATGTAACTTCATAATATAACATGTAGGCCGCATGTAGGTAGCAGGATGTAACTTCATAATATAACATGTAGGCCGCATGTAGGGGTAGGGGATGTAACTT